ACCCGCCGCCAAATCAAAAATGAGCTAACACTGAACTGTACACTTTAAAATGGTGAATTTTTCACAATTGCAAAGATGTGGAAACAACCCAAGTGCCCATCAATACATGAGTAGATTAATAAAATGTGGTATATGCATACCATGGAGTACTACTCAGCCATAAAAAAAAAAATGATGAACTATTGTATTAACCTGGATGGAACAGGAGACCATTCTTTTTTTTTTTTTTTTTTTTTGAGACAGAGTCTCACTCTGTTGTCCGGGCTACAGTGCCATGGCATCAGCCTAGCTCACAGCAACCTCAAACTCCTAGGCTTAAGCGATCCTCCTGCCTCAGCCTCCCGAGTAGCTGGGACTACAGGCATGCGCCACCATGCCCGGCTAATTTTTTCTATATACATTTTTAGCTGTCCAGCTAACTTCTTTCTATTTTTTAGTAGAGACGGGGTCTTGCTCTTGCTCAGGCTGGTCTTGAACTCCTGAGCTCAAACGCCTCGGCCTCCAGAGTGCTAGGATTACAGGTGTGAGCCACCGCACCCGGCCTGGAGAACATTCTTATAAGTGAAGTATCACAAGAATGGAAAAACAAACTCCACATGTACTCACTATTAAATTGGAACTAATCAAACAACACACGTTCCCACATGGAAATAAAGCTCATCAGAAATCAAGCAGGTGTGGGGGGATGAGTAAATTCATACCTAATGGGTATAATGCACCTTATCTGAGTGATGGACACACTTAGAACTTTGACTCAAACTGTACAAAAGCAATTTATGTAACCAAAACGTTTGTACCCCTGTAAGACTCTGAAATAAAATAAACAAATAAAAGGTGAATTTTACCTCAAATAATTTTTTTAAATTTCTGAAAACTATTTTTTTTTCTTTTTTTGAGACAGAGTCTCACTCTGTTGTCCGGGCTACAGTGCCGTGGCATCAGCCTAGCTCACAACCTCAAACTCCTGGGCTCAAGCAATCCTTCTACCTCAACCTCCCGAGTAGCTGGGACTACAGGCGCATGCCACAACGCCCAGCAAATTTTTCTGTTTTTAGAAGAGACAGGGTCTTGCTCTTGCTCAGGCTGGGCTCAAACTCTTGACCTCAAGGGATCCCCCTGCCTCGGCCTCCTGGAGTTATAGGATTACAGGCGTGAGCCACTGTGCCTGGCCCTGAAAACTTTTTTTAGATCAATACACTGAGTGTATTCCCAAGACCTTAAATAATATTTTTAAAATTATTTTTATTGACAAAAGGTACATATTATCATGTACAACATGCTTTGAAATATGCATACAGTGTAGAATGACTAAATCAAGATAAATAACATATGCATAACTTCACATACTTATTTTTTGTGGTGAGAACAAATTTTACCTGCATTTAAAAAAAATAGCGAGCCAAAGCTGCTTTAACAGCTGCCGCTCTGGAGGGACATGAATTCCCTAGTTCACTTCAGGTCCCAATCTGATCTTTTATTACTGACTAAATGTTCATCTAGCCCTTATAGACATTTAAATTTATAATGCTTACCCTATATAAGCTTACTGAATGAATTAATGAATTGAGATAATTTCAAGAAAGACAAGGCTGGCGGTAATGATAACAACAACAATAACAACTAATGTGTCGTGCTTACTGTGAGCCAAGTATCACTCAAGCAGAAACACATTTTCCCTACAGATATCCCTATTACTATTCCCAATTTACAGATAAGGAAACTAAGGTACAAAGAAATTAAGCAGCTTGGCCAAGGTCATACTGCCAGTACATGGTGGAGTCCAAATTTAATATCAACTTAGCTCTAGTACACATTGTTAACCACTACAATACAATCCTTTAGACTAGAATCCTTTCCTCTGTGACCAACTGAATTGATTCTTTGCAACAAAGAATTAAAAGGCAGACAAAACTGTAGAATCTACTCTTTCTTTGCATGAATGACTAAGAAGCAAACCAAAGTTCATCTAAATGCAGATGGCATTTCTGCAGTTTTTCTTGTCTTTAAAAACAAATAACTGACAGAGAAAAGGTTGTGGAATCCAATAAAATAATATACATTTTCTCAGAAAGCAAGTATGTTATTAGACATTTCTGGAGTGAGGTGCAGATGAATTCTTAACCTATAAAGTGATGATACACTATAAAAATTCTTCTCTTTCTTGGGATTGAGGATATGTCTATTAGGGAAAGCAGTTTCCAGACACAAAAAAAAATTACAAGCTTCTTGAGGGCAGGGACTGCTTTTCATCATCCCAGCAATGCCTCGCACAGAAGGGTACTTAGAATGCATTCAATAATGTTAAAGGATCCAAAAAATCTAAAGTTAATTTCTTAAATTGCAACCCTTATTATAGCATTTATCATCTTATTTTTTACAATAATCAATGGCCAACAAATTTGTTTTCCTGGCAAAAAATATAATATCCTTGAAGCAAGAGTTTTATATTTGAGTATCCCTGAGAACCTAGCACAAGAGCAGTTCAATAAGTGCTTGCTGAATATTACAAACTTAACATTTCTATACTTAGATTTCCTACAGGTCTGTGTGCCAGTTTTTAAAGTAGAAATTAAAAGAATATGGCTTCTTATTTATAAAGCACTGATATTATGAAGTCTTATTATAAGATATTTCTGATATCAGTCCTATATTGTGATGTCAACAAAAACCTGAAAAATTAGTGAGCCAGCACAGAAAGCACAAAACATAATCATAGAATGAGCTACAAAGAACCTGAGATCATATTCAAAACATTTAATAGACAAGTGAGGAAACAAGGCCCAGGGAGATTTAAGTGAACTGCCCAAGATCACAGAATTCAACTGACCAGCAATACCAACACCAAAACCCACGTCCCCTGAATGTTGGAAAGATACCCAGGTATCTTTCCACAAAGAACTGTTTTGTGAGCTCAGGATGAAATGGATACATTGAAAATATTTTATTTTAAAGATATTTGGTATGGAGAATGATCTTTCCCAGCACAGAACTTTTTGTGAGGTATTATATCACCACTAAAGAAATGAAAGCTGCCTTGTTCCTTTACTGAGATAACATTTCCTCTTCCCTTTTTGCTCTGCTTCTTTTTCATTTTCATGTCTTTTCTTTTATCATCTTGAGACTCCTTCCTCTTTCTATCTATTTTCCCTCTTACCTACTTCCTTTCTAATATTTCTCACAAATTTTCTCCGTAATTATCAGAAAGAACAGATTAAACACACATTTGATTATAGCAAATGGAACACCACAATGAGCAAATCACGGCCTTGGTCTCGGCATTTATAAGGTAACTGGTTAACAAAAATATAAAAACAAGAGGTCACACAAATTAATGAAATAATAAACATTAATGTTTACAGTGGAGACAAAAACCTAAGTATGAACAGGACATATGTAAAGGAAGGTGCTAAGGACAATAGTCTCAAGGTTACGGTTAGGCAAGTGAAAGACCACTCTCTTCCTTTTTTTAAGTTTTTTTTCCAGCTTTATTGAAGTATAATAAATAAAAACTGTATATATCCAAGGTGTACATGTTTTGATATACACACATATGAAAGGATTTTTCACAATCGAGCTAATCAACACATCCATCACTGCAGTTACCTTTTTCGTGTGTGTTAAGAATACTTAAGATCTGCTCTTTCAGTTAATTTCAAGTATACAGCGCATGATCATCAACTATAGCTACCATGCTGTACATTAGGTCTCAATTTATTCACCTTACAACTGCAAGTCTGTACCCTTGACCAACATCTCCCAATTTCCCCCATTCTACCACCCCCAAACCCGAATAACAACTCTTCTACTCTCCATTTCTATGAGTTCAACTTCTTTAGATTCCACATACAAGTGAGGTCATGTATTTGTCTTTCTGCGTCTGGCTTATTTCATTTAGCATAATGTCCTCCGGCTTCATCCATGCTGCTGCAAAAGGCCAGACTTCTAAGGCTCTTATTCCATTTTTTTATATATATAAAACATATATATATAAAAAACACATATAGACAATTTCTTTATCCATTTATGTGTCAACAGACACTTAGGTTGTATCCATTATCTTGGCTATTGTGAATCATGCTGAAAAGAACATGAAAGTGCAGGTATTTCTTCAAAACAGTGATTTTATTTGCTTTGAATATATACCTAGAAGTGGAAATGCTAGATCATATGGTAGTTCTATTTTACCACTCTTTTCCTATTCAGATCTCTTACCTATCAATTCACCTACTCTACCTTCATTCACTCCCTATTCTTACTGCTTAACTTTATGTTCTACCTTTTTTTTCTTATCCAGTAGTCTTCCTTTTCTCTCTCCTGACCTTTTAAAGTGATCTGTCTTGTCCTCATGTGTTCCTTCAAAATATTATTGCCAACTTCTCCCACTTTGTGGATCTAAATAACATCAAGTTGTGAATTCATTTTTTTTTCTGAAGATTTAATAGGGATTATTTATATGATCTTCACAACAATGCCAAGGAGGGGAGTAAGAAGCAATACTTATCTATTTCACAAATACACAAACTGAGGCCTGGCAAGACTAAATTAACTTGCCAAAAGTCACACAGCTTACCAGCAGCAAAATCAAATGAGAACCCAGACATTTTCTTTCCAAGTCCTCTATTCTTTTTCCACTGCACCATGTTTTTTTCTTTTTAATTCCCCCACTTAACCATACACATGCACACGTCTAAACAAGTATACAGAGATAAATATTTATAAAACAGCACAAGTGGAGAAAGTGTGTGTATATATACAGGAACTATAAAGACAGAAAAGTCAAAGGACCCAAATTAAGAGCACACTGTAGCTCACTGGCTAATCCTTGCGAGGAGGTTTTGGGTTTCACATCCAAGTGGAAACTGCCTATTTCTTCAATCAATTGATGTAGCCAGCATCAACACTGCTTTCTCCCCACACCTTGCCATAGCAGTTATATGACCAGAGTTTGCCCTCTGCACCACTCCTGCCCCCAAATCTCTCTCACAGGAATGTCACCATACCTGAACTTCTCACAGTATGAGTCACTTCTTTGGGTTAAGGCGTTGTCTCCAGAAGGCCACTATGAAATGCATGTTACCTGAAAAAGAAAGGAAGGTCCATTAATACACGTTACTCCTATGAATAAATACATCAGATATGCAATGACCTTGGCAATGTGACAGCACAAAATCTTTAAAAAAAATTTCTTGGGATAGATAATTTTTGATGGGCCAGGCAGGATAAGGGGGCAAGTTGGGGCAAATGATTCATACATTATACGAAAAGATTCCACTCTGGGTATCACGGCCATGCGGCAAAATGAGAATGGCCATATAAACACATACTCTGCCTACAAGGATTATCACCATAAGGATAGTCTCTGCGACTTGGAGGCTCCTAGGAACAGGAAAAGAAAAAGCACTCCAAGTGTCTGGCTATAGTCAGTTCTGAAAAGAAGCACAAAAGCTGAGTTGGCAGCAGTTTTCCAAGGACAGTACATTGCTAGACTGGAAGAGGATAGAGGCAGAACAGTTTGTGGTTAATTGCTTCTAGTTTTGAGGGTAGTTTCCAAACTAAGGTTTTTAGTTGAGGGCCAAGATCCCAACCAGAGAATGCTGCAATTCGATTCTGTGAAACCCCTCACTAATTTATATTGACTTAAAGCCAGTATCATTTACAGCCAAAAAATCAACATGCCTTTACTGAGTGCTTATTTTGAGTCCAGAATTTGGCTAAGTATACTATAAATACAGAAAAGAACTGGCCGGGCGCGGTGGCTCACGCCTGTAATCCTAGCTCTCTGGGAGGCCGAGGCGGGCGGATTGTTTGAGCCCAGGAGTTCGAAACCAGCCTGAGCAAGAGCGAGACCCCGTCTCTACTAAAATTAGAAAAGAAATTAATTGGACAACTAAAAACATATAGAAAAAACTAGTCGGGCATGGTGGCGCATGCCTGTAGTCCCAGCTACTCGGGAGGCTGAGGCAGGAGAATCGCTTGAGCCCAGGAGTTTGAGGTTGCCGTGAGCTAGAATGACGCCACGGCACTCTAGCCCGGGCAACACAGTGAGACTCTGTCTCAAAAAAAAAAAAAACAAAAAAAAAAACCTGGTTTTAGTTTTAGCTCTGACTCTTGATTAGTTTTCGGTAAGTTATTTAACTTTGGCACATACACATATGCCACCCACTAGATAACTGTACATAGGAGGCATCACTAATCAATCATGACACACTTTCCTAAAGAACCCATACATCCAGAAACCTTCTAAACACAGTGCTTCTGGCACTTCCAATCAGAGTTGGCCTATAAACCAAAATATATTTGCCACTATGGACTAGATAATCTCTGTAATTTCTTCCAACTCTAAAGTTCAAGTACCAAGTTTCTACAGGCTGAGAGAAAAACACTTCCAACAAGCCTAGCTAGACCAATAACGTTAATAGTCACAAATTTCAGTCCAAACTCCTAGTTCTCTTCCAAATTGCATCTCACCTGGTTCTTTCTGATTTCTCAAAGATGCTAATGAAAAATTCACCTTCATACTATTAACATATATAACCTGTCAATATTATTCAGACTTGCTAGTGTGTTCTTTTAAGAGAAAAGGAGCCCTTTACCCAGATTAGCTTTTAGAAAAAAAATCCTCATTATTGCACTAGTAAAGACCTAAATCCAATCTTTGATCATCCCTATAGCCTCTCTCCAAGGTCAGGCTTTGTCACTTCTCACCTAGACTTCTGCTAAGAGCCACTCTTTCATCCTTTCACTCATCACCAGAGCCATCTTTCTAAAGCACACATGTACTCACATCACTTCCCTGTCTACAAATCTGTATCTATTTCTAACAACATAAAATCAAAAATTTCGGCATTATACTTAGAACTTTTCATGCAGTTCCCTCCTTTTACCTTTCTGGACTCACGTCCCAAAATGCTCTCCTTCCACACCTCACTCTCTGTTCCCTGATCGCTTTTTCTTCCAAATACTCTGTATTTACACACAACATTAAGGCATTTCCTGTGCTTGCCCTGTCCTTTCCTTTCCCCATCCTTCTCTTGTCACATTCCTACTCATCCTCTAAGACCCAACTCAGGTCCAGCAGCAGGTCTTGCCTCCTCCTCTGGCCAATCCCCCTGACAGAACTGGCCACATCCTCTTCTCCTGTCTCAAAGCTTTTTGAGCTATCCTTGGCATGTCCACAGTGTTGTTTGCCTCAGTGGTTCCCAAAACTATAAGAATTACCTAAGGCATATTTTAAAAAGAAATTGGTTGGAGCCAACCTAGATCTAGTAAATCAGTCTCAGAAGGTAAGACCCTCGAATTTCTACCTCTAAAAAGCTCTTCTAATGATTCTAATGGTCAAATTTGGAGACTACTGATTTGTCTGTCTCCCCCAATAGTTTTAAAGACATCTTTTTTTAAAAGAAAGTAGAAATGATTTATTGTAGAAGACACTAAAGAAGTACTCTTCGCTTGTTTTTTATTTCATATCATATCCTTGTTGACTTGTAAGCTGAACATGAAGGAATTCCTTTTGGACTACACCAAAAAAAGGTACATTAACTGTTCAAAAAAAGCAATAGAATTTCCACCTTTATTTCTAAATCTTAAAAATGAAGAAATTGTACCTTAAATAAACCTGTAAATACACAGTGCAGGCTCTAATTAGATCTGCCATGAGAACTTCATTTCAGCGGAGAAACAATTTCTTAGCCGATTTTGAGGAGAAATACACTGTCTTTACATACTTACTTCTTAAGATCGAATAATATTAGGAACAGATACAGAAGAACCCACCTAAGTGCAATGATAGGTGCCTGGCTCCAGTGCCTGACTAATTTTCAAAGAAAAATTCCACTCTTGCTTCCCCATCCCCCCACTCCAAAACAAGAGTACTGCAGTTGTACCAGAATGGCAAAAACCGTAATAAGATACAGATACAAATATAACCAAGAAAACAAGGCTGAGTTGATACTGGGGAATCGTGGGTTTCCGGTACTTTTAAAAGTTCACAGAGATTATTACATCTCTGACTAGCTTTAGGCCCAACGTCTACCTCGGGCGCACAGACCCTGTGTTTCTGTCTTTAAGACATGGCCCGGAACTAAGTCTGAAAACTTGAGTTCTCCCCATAAAAGTCAAGTCCTCGTCAAGGTTCGACCTTTAGAATACGTTCGCGGCTACTTTCTTCTTTTCTCTGCTAAAGAAAAGGACACTCTCAGAAGGAAGGACAGTGACAGCTCCACGTCTGCAAAAGTCGGCGCCGCCACGACGGTGGCGGGCGCCGGGACCTGGACCACCACGCGGGGGGACAATGGAGGGAGGAGGGGAGTACAAGAGAGAAGGGGAGGCTGCCGCTGTGCTGGGCTTTCCTAGCGACTGGGGGCTTGGAAAAGACTCGAGAAGGCCAGCCGGGTGGCACGGGGGCCTGGCCGCCGCCCCTCACAGGGCCACGTAGCCCGCGCCGGTCGCAGCTGCCGAGCCCCGCGCGTAGGCCGGGCCGCGAGACAGTGGCCCCCGGGTGGGGCTGAGGGGCGCGGGGCCAGACCCTACCCACGCCCGTCGCGGCCCAGCCCTTTCACAACTTGGTGCCCATAAGGCGAGGAGCTCTGAGATCCTCGGCCAGGCGCTCACCGCTCGGCACTTCCGACCAACCCACCCCCTCCGGGCCCGGGCCACTAGCCCGAGCTCCCCGCGCCCCCAACGGGCACCAGCTCTGAGCGAAGAAGGAGCAGCCGCGGCTCTCGGGTCCCAACTCGCGCGCCGAACTCCTCTACCCTCGTTCTCCATGGACACTCTCATCCGCGATACCCACTCTCCCCAGAAGTGCCCCCAGTCCGCTCGCGGATGTTTACCGGGACTCGGGGCGGCGGCGACTCCTCAGTCCCTCGACTAAGATGGCAGCCGGTCCCGAGCCCCGACCACAGCAACTAGAGCGAGTTAGCAGCCAACGCGCAGGCGCCTCCGCGCGGGAGCGGCGGGAACTACGAGCCCCGGCAGGCCTCGCGCGCCAGGCCCCACTCCTGGCCTGAAGAAGTGGCTGCGGCTGATGAGCGCAACTAAATCAGAGTTTTCCCGCACTTCCAGGAGAGATGTACTCAAGTTGCTCCCAACACGTCCAGGCTTTTTTTTTTTTTAACACCCCGCCCACCAGCACCTCTAGAGCTGTAGCTGTGGTTCCCAGACTCTATTGTGCGTCAGAATCACCTAGAGGGCTTAAAACTTCGACTGCTGAGCTCCACCCCCCAGAGTTTCTGATTCTGTACATCTGAGATACGGCCTGGAAATTTGCATCTCTAACAAATTCTCTGCTAATGCTACTGGCAGGTGGGATAACAGTTTGAGAACCACTGGGTTATATAGCTTAGTCCTTAAGAACACTGATTGGGTTCAAATTCTCCCTTCTCCATCTTATAATAGGGTGCGCTTAGAAGTGATGATAACAGCTGAGTGGCGCCAACATGGCAGGCGCTCTAAGAGCTGATCAGCAAGCTCCCTTCATTCTCACAGCAAACCTGTGAGAGAAGTGCCGTTATTATTCCCATTTTACAGATGCATAAACTAAGTCACAGGCTAAATAAGAACCCAGTCAGTCTAGCTTCAGAGTCAATCCTCTTAACCTCCTTCATGGATTGTTCGTGACGATTAACAGCCTGTGCAAGACAAAGACTCAGAGGCATGACTAAGTGCTCAGTAGTTAGTGACCTTTGCTTTATGGTTTAGCCTGTTTCCTCCTAATGAAAATAATATTATTTACTATCTGGAAAGTCACTTAAATTTTTCAAAGTACTTCCCAAACTGCCAAGTCAGTGTTCCTGCAATATGCCTTAGGAGAGATTGTTAAAAATATAGATTCCTGGGCCCCTACCGCATTCATATTCTCTAGGGCAGTGGTTCTCAAAATTTAGTGCTTATCAGAATCACTGAAGGATTAGTTAAACCATAGATCATTGGTCCCTACTCCCAGAGTTTCTGATTCTGTAGGTCTGGGTGGAACTTGAGAATTTACATTTTTAACCGGGGACTACACTGGGAGGATCACTGCTCTAGAGCAGTGTTTCTCCACCTTTTTCTTTTTAATCATTTCTCTAAGGAGCATTTTTGGACATTTTTTTCCTAAGTATCCCCTCCATGAAATTTTAATATCAAACGTAATGTGTATCTATTTATGTACTCTATGTAGTATATCTGTGCATTAAACATTAAAAAGTTAAAAAATTTTCTTCTCCACCCCCAAGCAGTGCTCTGGGGAAATCAGGATTGTCTAACTAATGTCTAATGTGATTCTTGTCACCAAGCAAGTTTGGGAAACATAGTGACCTTTAAGATATAAGGTATTTTTATGACCATTTTACAGAGAAGAAAACCGAGTCTAAGAGAAATTAAATGACTGGCCCAAGATCACTCAGCCAGGGACCAGGCACAGTGGCTCATACCTATAATCCCAGCACTTTGGAAGGCCAAGGTGGGAGGATCGCTTGAGGACAGGAGACCAGCCTGGGCAACATAGCAAGACCCCATCTCTACAAAAAATTTAAAAATTAGCCAGACATTGTGGCATGTGCTAGCTACTCATGAGAATATGCAAGGAGGTTCACTTGAGCCCAGGAGTTTGAGATTATAGTGTGCCTCACTTCATCCGGCCTGGGCAACAGAATGAAAAGCCCTATCTTCATTAGCTATGGAGAATTAAAGGCTCTGAAAACTCTTACACAACCCTGAGCCGTGAGGAAGGTTCTTAGACAGTTCTGGCCCCTCTCCAACAGGAACCTCTTGCAAATAGCTGGTCCAGGGAAAATTTGCACCATTCAAATATTAGTAACCAACAATAAACCCTCTTGACCTCTGTATGCAGATACAAGAAACAAAAAGAGAGCAAGAACAAGAAAAGAAATGAAAAGAAGAACCAAATCAACAATAAGAACAATAAAACCCCAAAGAATATTTACCAGAATAAAAACAAAACAAAGCAAAAAAAAAAAAAAAAGCCAGGAGTTCAAAACCAGCCTGGGCAACATAGCAAAACCCCGTCTCAAAAAAAAAAAAAAGAAAAGAGGCTGGGCACAGTGGCTCACGCCTGTAATCCTAGCTCTCTGGGAGGCCGAGGTGGGAGGATTTGTTTGAGCTCAGGAGTTCAAAACCAGCTCTGAGCAAGAGCGAGACCCCGTCTCTACTAAAAATTAGAAAGAAATTAATTGGACAGCTAAAAATATGTAGAAAAAATTAGCTGGGCATGGTGGCGCATGCCTGTAGTCCCAGCTACTCGGGAGGCTGAGGCAGCAGGATCACTTGAGCCCAGGAGTTGGAGGTTGCAGTGAGCTATGATGACTCCATGGCACTCTGGCCCTGGCAACAGAGCAAGATCATGTCTCTAAATAAATAAATAAATATCACTCAGCCAGGAACCAGGGATCCAACCCAAGTCCTCTTGTTCCAGATTCTGTTTTCATCTACAATTTTTAAAACTATAAAATGTTAGGCAAACTATAGTGGTAGAAGTCAGGATAATGGTTACCCGTTGAGGGGAGGTAGTACCTGGAAGGCACAAAGGGACTTCTCAGGGCAGGTAATGATGTTCTGGGCCTTGATCTGGATATGGTACGCAGGCATGCTCACCTTGTAAAAAGTCATCAAGCTATTTACTTAAGATTTGTGCATTTTTCTCTGTTTATATTATACATCGATAAAAGTTTACTTATGTTTTTAAATGAATACTCATTCTGTTTTAAAAATGTGTCTTTCTACTACATGCCAAAGACTCTAAAACTTTAGAGTGCATCAGAATGACCTGGAGGACTTGTTAAAACTTGGAATGCCAGGTGTTACCCCCAGAATTTCCGAGTCAGGAAGATCTGGGATCAGGCCCAAGAAATTTGCTTTTCTAACAAGTTTCCAGGTGATGCATATGCCCAAGGATCACATTCTGAGAACCACTGGACTATGCTATCCTAACCTTTTTGCTAATGCCAACAGGGTAGATTAGCTCTGATCTGAGAGGCAGTACCTAGCAGGAGTTAATATTAATAATTTAGGCTTCAGAGGCATACGCATCAAGGATCTAGTCCTTATTATGTCAACTACTTGCTTTGGAGTTCTTAGGCAAAATCACCTTAGTGTCCAAATCTCTAAATGAGTATAACAGATCCTACTTCCTAGGATGTCATAGGAGATCCAGGGTAGGTAGTTGGTGGTTCTCCAAGGACAAGCTAAGTTGGTGAGGGCAGGGAATTCCAATCCAGCCATTTCCTCATTCTTTCATGCTGTGTGGCTCTGGCTCCCAGGTTCCCTGATCCAGAACTCAGTCTTGGCTTAGTCAGAACGCAGGATCAGCGGTCGATAAAGCCTCAAGCCACCTTTACCCTCCTTCTGCCTAGGACACCCAACTCAGTCCAAGTCAGGACCCAACCCTGCTAAAGCGGGGCCAGAAGTCTGGAGGGACCACCATCAGCAAGGGAAGCTGGTTTCCAGGCCTCTCCAGAGAAGAGGAAGGAAGAAAGTAGGGATGGAGAGCTGGAAGGAGTTGGGCGAGAAACCCCAGCGGCCCACATGCCACCTGTCGCTTACCAGATTTCCCTACAGAACACTTAGTCATGCTGCTGTCCCACTCTTCCCTGGACCTGCTGTGCTTTCAATTGCCAGAGGAGGGGAAGGCTTGAAAAGCTGTGTGTTAATGGAAACAAGACACTGGACGGGGCTTCTGAGAGCCTGAGATCTGGATCTAAAGAGACCAGTTAAGACCTGAGGCTGTGGCTTATTATCTCCCCTCTTTGAGACTGTTTCCTCATCTGCAAAATGAGGTATACAAGTTCTGTCCCTGGGTGCCAGATTTAGAAAGTAAAAATATAGGATACCTGGCTAAATTTGAATTTCAGATAAGCAACAGATAATTTTTTGTATAAATACATGCCAAATATTGCACGTAACATGCTTACACTAAAAATTTTTTCATTGTTTATCTAAAATTCAAATTTAACTGGCCATCCCGTATTTTATTTAGCAACACTACTTCTAAGGCTTTACACACATTCTTGATCAGGTGTAGTAAACTTAAATGCCTCCAAGGACCAGCCAGGTAAAATTAAAAATAACAGCTAATGTTTACTTTCTACACTGTAATTACCAATCATATCCTCAGTGTTTACATGCACTATCTCATTGAATACTCGCGGCAACATAGGCGTAGTGCTCAGTTTGCTCATCTACAAAGTGGGAATAGTAATGTACCCTACCTCATGGGTTGCTGTGAAGATTAAATGAGCTAACGCACGTAAAACACTTAGACCAGTACCATGCAAACACTCAATAAGCAATAGCCATAATTTGCCCCATTATGCAGATCAGAAAACTGAGTCTCGGAGTGGTGAAGTAACCAGCCCATGATCATGTAGTTAGCAAGTGGCTGTGCCAAGATTTGAATCCAGGTCTAAAATGTTGGCAACCAATTCAAAATGTTGTGTTCCATCAACAGGAAAATGGAAAACCTTGGTATAATCATTCATTCAATAGAATACTACTAAGCAATAAAAATAACAAATTACCAATGCACAAAATAAAATAGATAAGTCTCAGATACACTAAAAGGAAGAAGACATACAAAAGAGTACACACTGTATGGTACTATTTCTATGATATTCTAGAGCATGTAAAACCAAATCAATGGTGAAAAATCACTATTAGTAGATGCCTCTAAAAGGAGGGGATTGACTGGAAGGGAGCATAGGGAATTTTCCAGAGTGTCAAAAATGTTCTTTCAATATCTTGTTAGGGGTTTGGATTACATGGCTGTATGCATTTGTCAAAACTCACAAACAGTATGAGATCTGTGAACATCATTGTATGTGAATTTAACCTCAAAAAATAAGAAAGGGCAAGCGTAGTGATTTTTGCCTGTAATCCCATAACTTTGGGAGGCCAATGTGGGAAGATCATTTGAGGCCAGGATTTCAAGACCAGCCTGAGCAACATAGTGA